AAAAAAACAACCAAAAAAACCCTGCCCTTTTATGGAAGAGAAATTCTACACACAAATGGCTCAGAGGAAGAAAATCAAATTAGTTTGAAAAGAAGGAATGCAGGACTGCCATGATGCAGAGAATAGACAATCCGTACAACCCACACAGCCAGGCTGAAAGGCTGAAGGCCCTCCCTKTTAGAAATGGGGTCACAAACAGAAGAAGGGCTGCAGGAATTCTCTCCCATCACTGCTTASCTGCCCTTCTCACGAGAGCAAGTGTCAGGCGTAAGCTGTGCTGAAGTCAATGTGAGAGCTTGGGTCAGACTCCAGTGAAGCAAAGGTGTTTAATGATACCTGTGCACAGGAATGTCTGTCTGTCTGACCATTTTAAACACAGGCCGAGGTTGTGGCTGAAGAGGATTTATTGGCGGCAATCTCCATTGCAGAATGAGAATAAACCGGCAGGGAGAAAATACATTTTATTACTGTGTTTTTAGCTTGTTCAGAAACGACGCCCATTCAGGTGTCTGCATTGTCAATGCACTGTTTGAAGCACAAAAAAAAAAGAGGATTTTCAGACAAAGATACAGTTTGCAATCAGAACAAACTGAGAAAAAGCAGCTGGCAAGAGAGTGAACAAGGCCTGCCAAAGACACACAGGTCACGCTCCCTCCTGCTCCGCAGCATTCAGGGCGTACAGGCAATAACACGTGCAATAAACATGCAATRTTCAGTGTTCCATTGCTCTCAGAYAGCAATGCCATAGCACGAGCAAAGGCTGCAGCCATGGCAGCAGTTACTGCAGCCCCACTGATGCAAAAGCAGCACAGACCAGAACTGACCCTTCAAAGCCTTTTAAGACATTTGGGCRTTCAGCTGCCTGCCAGCGCTCTTCTGATGAAAATTCAATTTTAATTTCCCAGGCAAAGTGTACAAATACCCGGTTTACGACGACTTTGACTTCAGCGAGCGGCCGCTGTTCACGCAGCCCCTGGTGAACACGTTCGCCGTGGCCGGGTACAACGCCACCCTCAACTGCAGCGTCAGGGGCAACCCCAAGGTACGGCACGGCAGCGCTTAAAACGGGACACCAGAACCTCATGGCAAAATTTACAATGCCACTTTTGTGACTCACTCACAAGCCGGGCTAAAAACAGGATGGTGTAGGTTCTAAAAAATACTGGAAAAACAGGAGCTGCTGACCTGTGCTATAGGCACGATAATAGTTAATGCACAGGTAGCTCAGGAAAGGGAAAAGGCTGACTTATATTGGGACCCTCAACAGCTGCACATTTCATACATCAGTAAAAGCTGTTGCTAAAATGAAGCCATAATTGTTCCATAAAAAGCTGATTATTTCCTCATAAGCACATTGCAGAAATGGGCTGGGCAGCAAGCTGTTTCTCAGACCCACTGCATGATGTGTCTGGTGTTTTCTTTTGAATTGTGTCTCTGTGATTTATTTTCTGTTGTGAGAAACTGAGCTGGCCTGGTAAAGAGAGAAATCCAGAGTGTTTATGAACACGTCTGCTGTTCACCCTTCACCGTCACGGTTTCTGACTGCCCAAATTACTGTGGAAAAATATGCTTTTCTTATTGACTTGGAGGAATTGGATGTCAAAAACCAATGGTCAGATGTTTGTTATCATTTCACAGTCCTTGTATTGATAACAGGCTTGTATTTACAGCTTTAATTAAGTGATAAGAGTGGCACTTAAAAAAAAAAGTGCTAAAACCAGATGTATGATGCATCCAATGCTTATCTTTGAGTTAAGATTTCATTTCCTTTCTATCACCACTACTTTTTACAATTTTTGGATTACTCAGCTTTAACTATACACCATAAAAAAAAAAAAAAAAAAAAAAAGAGATAAAATATTTTCAGTTCACAGCTTTGTGCATTTGGGCTTTCTTTTGGTGTTTTTCTTTTCGTGTTTGTTTGTTTTTTGTTTTTTTTTTTTACCACAGCCCAAAATAACCTGGATGAAAAACAAAGTCCTCATCATGAACGACCCGAGGTACCGAATGTTCAGCAACCAAGGCGTGTGCACCCTGGAGATCCGCAAGCCCAGCCCCTACGACGGAGGCACCTACACCTGCAGAGCGGTCAACGAGCTGGGAGAGGCAGAAGTGGACTGCAAACTGGAAGTGAGAGGTAAGGGCTTCAGAAATTTCAAATACCCTGTTTTCCTCAGCACCAACTGCACTGGAGATGGAAGTATGCAAGGCAAAAGAAAAAAGGAGTTCAAGCAACTTTGAAAACTTTTCCTGGATTAAATGGATAACTCTGTTAGGACAAAACAATATTGTTGTTTTCTTCCTGTTTTGTTGGCATTAATAGGTAAATGTTATGAATTTCAGGTTGTTTAGGCTTAAGTGGGATATCGTGAATGGCAAAAGGATTTGGGGTGGACTACTAATGAATATTTTTCAGACCATTACTTCCTAGGAAAAGATTGGGTCACATTTAGCTGGACCCACCAAAGGCTTGGCTTCAACTGCGGAATAGAYGAAGTATTTCTTAAAAAATTAATCTGAGGTTGTAAGTAAGGAAAGCTGCCTAAAACCAGCTGMTAGAAAGTGCCTGACTAAGGAATTTTGAGGGAATTTAGGCAATAGCAATATGTTCCTAGTTATATTGCTTCCATCACTTTTCTATATAAAACAACATTTAAAGTTTTTACAGATTGTGTTAATTTTGCATTTCAGTTTCCATTATCTGTATTTTCTGATGTASCTTGTCCCACAGCTCGTATTTGCCATCAAGAAGACATTTCAATTAATGTTTGATATACGTTAAATTGAACTTAGCTAATGTAATGAAAACATGCATATTATATTTCTTCGTTTTTATTTTCCATTTTTAAGATACTTTCTTTAAAAGGTGATGTCCTCATCCTGGAAGTAAGATCGCTTTCTTTAATCACAAGCAAACTTTCTATTTCACAGCACAACAGAAGATCTCTTTAGAACCAACACCTGAGAGGGTTGCTTTGTCTATTTTTTCTGAAAAGCCAATTTAGATTGCCAAGTGAACACAGGATAGGCTCAGGCTTTGCTCTAGSCAAATACAGAAAATTATTATTATTAAACAGCCAGAGTAGAAAGACATCATTGCATCTCATTTCTCTCTTCTATTGACTTAAATGTTGATTTTTCATACTCTTAAGTTTCCCAGACTGTTCATTTAGGAGGGCTCCCCAGACGACTGCTCACCGTGCTGACGCAGAGGATTTCTGTGGATTTCTGACTCGCTGGAAATGAATTGCAGTGTGTGTTTGTGTGTTCATATGTACAGCTTTAAACTTTATTCCAGCAAGTAACTGCCAAGGTCTGGATTTGTGAGATGATGAGATACAGTTGAATGTTTTCTGAATAATATGAACAGGTTCAAGGCAGTGCTGCCTRTCTGGTGAAGGTACAAGCTATGGTGCTTCCACTACAGGTAGTAGGTGTGATTCACTAGAAAGTCATGCTACAGAGCCCTGAGCCATGCAATAAAATTTATTTTAGCTGTGTTTCCTTGTGTTGGCTAGAATTACTTCTAGCCATCTCTCTCTGACATATTGGAGAACTTAAATTTATCATGCATATAAACACTCAGCCCCCAAAATGTCTGAGCAGCCTAGGATTAATGAGTGTGCATGATATTTGAACATCTGACTGGTTGGTGAATACTCTGGCTATGAATACTATCAGTAAGCTACAATTTTCTACATTTTTAGCCATTTCCTTTCATTATTCTAGGTGTAAAACTACCCCCCTAGCTGTTGCTAAATTCAACGCTCGTTTCCTGTGAAAGTTTTAGTGATATTTATAAGCACGACAATTAAAATAGCAACAACTTATTCTATCCTCAGAAGAGGTTTTACATGTACTGATATTATTTCAGACAGGCAATATTTGATTCTTTGGTTTTAAGTTTTGCTGAGTGAACTTAAAGATGGAAGTTACGTGACCTGCTCAGTACAATTGCACATAGAGTGGCTTTTGTTTGGTAAATTAAGTGTGTAAAAAATCATGTGATAGATAACTCTTTGTCATCTTGAAAGGTGGCAACATATGCAGAATCTCATTACATGTTTCATACTCACCACAGAAAATACCACCTATATCTTTTGAGTTTGTTGAGGTAGATCCCCAAATTTGGCTCTCAATCTCCCATTAGGAGCAGTAAAGAACTGATTCCTTCTCAGCTTCACTGAGGTCGATGAAAATAGTTAGATAAGGTGCTGTGCTTCTTTTATCACAGGAAAAACAGCTTTGGAGAACWTTTAGAAGTGAAGTCAAGGTTGGTGATCACTCTTACAGTGGGTTAGTGATAGCAAAGTTGCTGTATAAGAACTATTTTTTTAAAAGGTGTTAAGATCAACGGGGAAGAATTTCAAATGCCAATAAATGCCACTATAAATATTCTAATTCTGCAGTGATCTATCACGGAGTAATTAACCCGGGAGAACCACTCAGCTTGGCGGGGGATAATCAGGTTTATAACGCGCGCACTCCTCTGGACATTCCATTTCATTCCCACCCTCTTTTTCCACATGCAAACGCATTTTCTGCATGCAAAGTGTGATTTCTTTGCGTTTTTAGATTAAACTGGCTAGTGTCTCATGGCATACATTGTCTATGTCACATGAGCAAAGAAGGCCAAATTAATCAAGGCAATACCCAATCATCTGGGTATTTAATATCAGAATTATTGTGGTTTTAGGCATATTTCATAGAAATATCTCATATTTCTGATTTAATATCAGAATTACTAAGGTTTCAGACATATTTCATAGAGTGACATGTAAAGAATTTATTTAATGACTGTGAATATGTTTGACCATAGACTTAGAACTTTCCAGGAGAAAAAAATATGCATTTCAAAAAAAAAATAGCTCTCAGTTGGTTTGTAGAATTAGTGAAAGACCAGAAGTATTATAAAGTCATTTGCTGCAGTGAAAAGGCATTTTTTTATAACAGATCAGCCTTTGGTTACAAATTAGTGCTCAGAACCCACCGGTTTTAAAGATCAGATCTAAAGATCAGAGATAAGTATACATATATGGATGTTTATTTAAAGAATCAAAATGTTTAATCATAGCAAGGGCTCCTACAGAGTAATTAGCATGCTTTAAATAATGTAAATGTGGATATCTGACAAAGTACATACTTTAATGCACAGATACGTAATTAGTCAGTACTTGATAATTTTGCCTAACAGAGTTTCAACATATATATATATATAYATGTATGCTTCAGTGTTATGTGTGTGCCTTTCTTTTTCCCCTGGTGGAAAATACTATATATATATATGTGTTAGCTTCTTTGAAGCTACATTTGGAAACTTTTATCATAAACATAATTTGGTTCCAATCTATACTTTAGACTAATTAGAGGTTTTTATGGTTACTTGTACCTATTAATCTAGCTTTTACATATTAATGATAATTTTGAAGTGGAACTGGATCCCTACCTTTYACTCTTCATGTGCTTCTCTTCCTCCATATTTTACATGACTAAGGATTAAATTATCATCTTGACATAATTGTAATAATAATTTCMCTCAACATTTTCTCTCCACTCTTGTGTTTGCAATTAAATTGTTACTTCTCTTTCTCTCTCTCCCTTAGTTACACAGTAAGGATTTTTGAATGTATATWGTCATCTAAGGTAAGCTTTCATATGGTTCTTGCATATGAAGCTTATGTCTGTTTATACGTCATACAATGTCTGCCTAGTATGGCATGATTTTCATTATGTCACTTAATGAAAATGTCTTTTATAAGTTAGCAGCATGATGGTTTTAATGCTGGTAAATTCAGATTTTAACCATTTTAATAATTGCTCGTTACAGTAATTTTTCTTAGTAGCGCATCCATTATCTTCTAATAGTGTATGTTTGAAAGGAATTTAATGAGTTAGCRTGATTAATCAGCACGAATAAAATACAAGTAATAAAAAGAGCATTTTGTATTTACAGCAAGTTATTTTTTCATAGGAATATACCTCTACATAAACAAAATGTTTATTCCAGAGTTAACTTGGTTTAAAACTGAATGATTCACAGCACAATTTGCACTCCGTGAGCTGAAAGAATGCCAAAAAGCTGAAAGAATGCCAAAAAGCATGCTTTTTTCCTTTTTTTTCTGTCTGTATTGTGCATCTACCTAAGGTTGGGAGAGAACAGTTCTGCCACAATGACTATTTTAAATGAGACAGCGAGATCTCATAATCACTAGTAACTAATAGCATTTTAATTGAATAATCCTCGTGTTAATAAAGGTTATAAATTCTTAAAAATCTGTACTCAGCATAAATGTTGTGTGTAAGTGTCAGCTCAACTGCATTTAGCTGAAGCAGAGAGTGTTACCTTCACCCTGGCAATGTACTTTTGCTTTAAAGCTTTTGGTGTCTTCCAGGAAAAGCTCAGAAGGTAAGTGCAGCTATCAGTGGGTGCTTTGCAACGTGCAGAACACAATATTCATGCAGATTTGTGAGGGGAATGATAATGGTACATGAGCTTTCTTAAAGCAAAGAAATTATACCTTCTGTCTGGAGAAAGGGCAGATTCTAACGTTTTTAGCAAAATATTTATCTTTTGCCCACTGATTCTTCCAAATATCCTTTTTTCCCCAATGAAATTAAGAGAAATACTCGTGTGTTTTATTTCCATGGGTTTTATTTTAGTGGCATGGGACATCCACAGCCTCTGTGGGCAACGTGTGCCTCATCATCCTCACAGTCAGGGATGTCCTCTTTGTATCTGTTCTAAGCCCTTTTGCAGTTTGAAGCCATCACCCCTTCTCCTATCACTTCAATCCCTGTAAAAAGTCCCTCTGCAGCTTTCTTGGSAGTTCCCTTTAGGCACTGGAAGGTGCTCTGAGGTCTCCCCAGAGCCCTCCCTTCTCCAGGCTGAACAACCCCAACAAAAATTGAAATTCTAAAGTGAATTTAAAAGCAAATCCAAAATAATTCTTCAAACTTCCCCAGTTTGAAGGCAATTCATCATCTTTCTCTCTCTGGAGATTATGGGTACCTATATCTAAAATCCTGGCTTTTGTTCATGTGATTCTTCCACATTTGTCATCCCACTTGGTATTTTTGAGCAACATGGTAAATATTTTGCTAAATACCTAGAAACCATTTTAAGACCCAAAACTAGAATAAATAGAATATCTCTGCATGTTCTCCACAAGTCCTCCTGGTCAGGTGTTTTCTACATTGYTCCCCCCGCACTGACTTCCATCTCTGATCATACTCCACCCAGCCTGATGGAAAGCCAGGAGAGCTATTTGAAGTGAAGCTTCTCATAAACTATTGCATGYGGTGAGGTGACTGAATGTATGATAGCCTAGAAATGAAATTCAGCCTGCACAAAAGGACAGCAAAGASCTCTACAGTACCCATTAAATAATGGTTAATTGTCATGCTGGACTTTTGAGCAGGGCTGAATTTTACCACATCTCAAAGAATGTAATAAGGACTGACTAAAACTTGTCACTCGTGCCAGAAAATAAAGGTACAAAGCTGTTTCTCCAGGGACCTTGAACATGAAAATTGCCTTTTTTTCCTTGCTTGCAGGTGGGCTTTCGTTCTTCAGACTATTAATGGATGGAGTGCCTCCGCATATCATTGACTCGTACATGCGAGAAGTGCAGGCAGACAAAACTGAAGGGAAGTGAGAGTCCGTCCACAGTGCTCCCTCCCACTGCACGGGAAGCTGCTAGCAGAATAACAGCATTTTAGTTCTTGCAATGACAGAAAAACACGTGCCGTGGGGGATTTTATCACTTKTTTCCCTTTTTYCCCCCCCCTTTAATTGTCCTTTTGTTTTCCCTACCTGCTCTTACTGAAAAGAAAGAATACGCATGGATTGCTTTGAGGTTGAAATGAAATGAACTGAAGACAAACACACGTTTTGTAATGTTCAGCTTTATTTTCTGATACCGTGTTCTGTTTTTTAATGAGGAAAGAGGGGAAGCTGTGTAATAAGCACAAGGAGGCAGAGTCTGTTCTCGATGGTACAAAGCATATCTTTCTCAGACTGGAAGTACAGTAGCTGTGCAATAAGACCCTTGGAATACATACCTCTGATAACGTATCTTATTCACCTGAGAATGTTTAACAGAATATGGTTTTACTATCATGTAACTCATGCATATGTAATTAATGATCAGATAAGCTGGACATACCTTCCTATAGAAGTTTTGATTTCCTAAATTTGACCCATCTGTCTCTCAACTTAACTGAAATAGTTTTATTTAATGTACAATAAATATGAAGTGTTTAAGATCTATTATGTTCTTGTTTACTATTTTTTTTCTGTTTCATTTTACCACATCTCTTATTTTATTTCCACATACAATAAAGCAGGAACTTTATTGTATTATCATCACATTGAGTGGAAAAAAAAATATCAGCAGTTACCTAACCCAGTGGGTTTACACTTTTTAAGATACACAACACARAATGTCTTGTGGAGTTAAATGATACAGACACGGACAATCTTTTGTCTATATGTTTTCACTATTTTAAATGTTATAAATGCCTATCACGATGGCTTTTAGAATTCTGGGTCCATCCCCTCTTTCCCCAGTAACTCAGGGAGCACTCGTAGGAATCACATCAGAAAAAAGGACTCAGACACAGCACTGGGGAGTGGCAGAAGTGCCTGAGAGAAGGTAAAATTGCTACATTTCTTCTCCAACTCCAGCTTCATGAATCTACAAGGATTTTAGGCGAGGGGGTGATCATCCCTCAGTCTCCAGCCATCCCTGAAGCATGTGACACACAAGGTCACACATATTTTGGCCAGGTTTTCAGTTCCCTATTGCCCTGCCATTTATTGACCAGCTCTCACTCTGGCTGTACAAACAGCACAGGTTATGTGCTCACTGGCTAATGACTGATCTCCAATTAGGGGTTTTAAAGATAAAGTCCTGCTTAGACCAGTAGTACATTACAAGATGTTTACTTGATGTCGGTGCATTTTCAAACACTCAGCAGTCGGTAATTGTGCAATAATAGAAGAATATGTTACTCTGAACTGCCACGACTGAACTGGTGTTTTTGAATCACCACTTCTTTTGCTTTGGGGTTCTGAATGCATTTTCTCACATTGTTCTGTGAATCTGACTCACTCTGAGAGACAGGTAGATTCTTTTTCTTTCATGGATAGATAGATTCTTTTTATTTTCTCCCTTATGTTTWATCTTTGTGGTTTCTTTGTATTGCTATCTGTGCAGGGAAGCAATTCTGCATTCCCAGTGATCCTGGACATCCCCTCACACCTCACCTGCATTTCACCCTTCTCCTGCCAAAATCAATCCTCTTCTAYACTTCCATTCACACCCACACATGAAAGAAAGCAACACATGCGCTAGGAAGAGAATTTCATACAGGATTAATGATTTCTGTTTATTCTGTATCTCACCAGTGAACTGGGACTCCATCTATTTTGAGGCACAGAAAGCTGCAGAAGGAGGAGAGGGTGGGTTTATTAAATGCCACAGAGGGTTAAGCATTGAAGCACATGACCCTCATTTAAAATAGTATCAGTCTGTTATAGCCAGCACCAAAAGCTGCAGTTATTGCGYGTTTGTGTTTGTCAGTAAGCCCAAAAATGAGGTACTTTCTATGAATAATGTTTACAGCTTCAAGCTTCYGTCTACCTGCCTCCTCAGCCTTAATATACCACACATAATAACCTGGAAGGCAGCACAARGCTCAGCTCTAGGCTGATGGAATTAGCCACTCTAATTTCTAGCAGATGCCCGCAGTGTTAAAGCACAAGCTGAGCTAAGCTCCTTTTCCCTGTGTGAACGGTCAGCGTTGTGCTCAGCTGCCCCTAATCCCTCCCCAGWGGGGCTGCCCAGCATTTGCCACTGGCCACCCCTGGGGCTGGGGATGCTCCAGGCCAGCAGGAAGCACAGGGCATCAGCCCGTGGGTGGAACTGAGATGAGTGGGCATTAATGGGCTACAAATTATTATTGCACTCTGGATTAAAAACRGACCCACTTGGAGAGAAATGATTGGAGGGGATGGGACGGGAAAGGGATTTCTATTMGATCTAAAACAGGCTGCAGAACCTTATCCAGAGAATAATAGAAGGTAAAATTGTGATTTATGACAATTTGCCTAATGGGATTCTCCAGAGATGATATTTGATAGATGAAATAGTGACCAAACCCAGAGAGTTAGGAAAATGCTGATGAAATCTGCAGCTAATGCCAGCTTAGGAAAATAATGACGTAACAAAGACAGCAGCTACAGGAAAAGCAACTTAAAGGGAACAGAAGCAGCAGAATATCATGCTGTAAAACGAGTGGCACAATGCTCCAAAGAAGAAATTTCTCCAAAGTCACAGGAATTTCCAGGTAATTAGTGAACTGGAGAGAGAGAGAGACCCTGGAGCAACAGAGGACAGCAAATACAACCCGCTCATATGAGATAAAGTAACARCAAAACATAAAAGCTTGTGAAACAGTGAAACCAGTAGCACCTCATGGTTGTGCTGCCYGATGGCTCTTAACATGTGAAACCAATCTTCACATATGTGCATTATYCATTATCTTTTTTGCTATGTACAGTCTCCATCAACTAATACKTGCTGAGGTTATAATTAATAGAACCTTTAATAACATTTTTCTTTCCTGAACACTTTCCTATATCCTAGTCAGTATTCTTGACAGCTCTGTCCTGATGTTCAGTTTGACTTACATTAGCCAAAGAACATCACTGCTCGGACTAAGAAAGACCCAAACACGTAAACACACATAGATAGACACAAAAAAGATGAATCAAAATTAATTTTTAAAAGGGTGTATGTTTCATGTTTTTAATGAAGCCAGTGGAAAATATTTGGTTTTCTCTTGGCTTGCTCTCTTTGCTCCTGGAAGGATATTTGGCATGTAAATGCTAYAGCTGTAGAAATTCAGATCCATTCTCAAATTGGTGCATGTGGAGGTTGACACAGGCTCTGTAGTTACCCATTTGAATTGAAAGAGCATACTACTGCCAGCACACTTTCCTCTTATTGAAAACAATCTCCCAAACACAGAAAGGGGAGAAGGAAAAAAGAGACATGCAATCTTTTAAAGACTATTTAAATCAGGATATACTGTTTTAAAAGGGGTCCTTATGTAGACCCAGAATTTTAAAAAATATTCTTTTTATAAGAAATATTTCAAGCTTCCTGAACTTCCTTTTAGGGAAAAAAAAAAAAAAAAGGGCAATATTGCTACCTTTTGCAGAACATTGTGAAGGGACCCTTACTTTATGAAAGYCTTTTGTTGCATTTTGAGATTCTGGAGCAAAAGGCATTCTATTTTAAGCACAGTGTACTTACTGTCACTTGACTTTCATGTCCTGCTTTCCTGACTGACAAGTAAAGCTGCTGCTTTGGAAGCAAAACTGTATCCYGAGTACTGACGGAGCACTGGGAGACTGAACACGCTGGACTTTAAATTCTGTGTTCTCCTGTTCTGTGCTTTGTAACTGAACACTTTTTAAATTAAAACAARCCCTTCCCAAGCCCCCAAGTGATTTATCCCCAAGTGATAAATTCAGTAGGGAATCTGTTTCTTCCTCTAATGTGCCCCTTGCTTTTTATGTCACTTACTTTCCCTGCACTTTTTTCCTAGTTTCTCATCTTTTCCTCCAGGTATCCARAGAGCTTGAGCAATCTCTCCATAAATACCAGTGCTATTATGTTCATTGACCACAGCAATGCACAGGATATTAAATGAAACAGAGTTTTACCTTCTTCCAAATGTAGTGATTCCACTGGACTGGGGATCTGGCTGGTTGTGATTCTTGTCACATTTCCCTTTTGCCATCCTCTAGTTGGCTGTTRCTGAACCTTTCTTTATTTTATGTTACCTTCTCTTTTGCTAGCAGTTCCTGTCCCCTCTGATTTGGCATCTAATGACAATTGCTGTATCATAYTGCTGTTAGTGATCTGTAAATTAAATCAGCTGATGAACGATATAGCACTAGGAGTGCACAGAGGAAATCGTKGGATTTGGAAATCACCATTTAACACATTCCTGACTCTTGCAGTAGAGAAACCAACTCAAACACGTATTAAGGTTATCAGTGGAAGTGAAGCAGTTCACTTTGGATAACAGGAAGCAGCTCTGTCCAGGAAATTGTAGTGTCTGGACAGAAAGCTGCACCCTCTGGCTCACAATGGAATAACTTWAAAAAGAATTCCTGACCCTAAGAAGATGCCATTTGGGTTTATAATAGCACTGCAGGTTGTATTTTACACTTTCTACTTCAGCTACACATGGCTCACCTTTTCCTTGCCCTCACTCAGAAACCCCACACCTTCCTGGACCATTCAGGGATACATCTAAAATCCTTCACATGACCAATTCAAATAATTTGATGCGCCACAGTTCCTGACCAGGTGCATTTTTTGGAARCGCCCCCTCTAAGGAAGCCAAGGAGGTGAAGTAAGTCCTGTGTAACATGAACACCATGTCCAGGTGCTCCATAAAACATGACGAGAGCTCCTCAGGCAATGGGTGGAAGGATCCTTGGCTGATCCAGCGGGGTCACCCCCTACAGCCACGGCTGCCCTGAGGTCACCTGCTGCTCAATCCCTGCCTTGCTCCAGCGAAAATCCCTGCCGGYCACTGCTGCGTGCACCCCGCTGTGGCGGGATAAAACGTGTGCAAGGGAAACAAGGCCAACAAGGGAACCGGCAGGTGCGAGCGGGATGAKGAGAGCGGAGGCACACGCGCATCGCCCGGGGAGCGGCACCGGCACCGGCCCTGAGCGCCCGCGGCCCGCGGCGGGTC